TTTTTTTTTTTTAACCTCAGAAACAGAGGAGAAATTCTCCATGCGGGTTCTGAATAAACCCTGCACCAGTGAGGTCACAGCTTGTAATAGTCAAAAAACTGTTTCCTAGTGGTTACTGACTTTATTGGATTTTCTCTTTTGTAAACCTATTGATGAAAGAAATTATCAGTTTCATAATGTTGTACTGGTGTCATCTTAAATATGTCTGTCTTTCACTTAATGAGTACCAAATCATTGCCTGGCTGTTATTTTGTTCACTGATGTAGTGAAGCATCATACCAAGTACTTACTGAGGAACCAATCATTACTTAATAACTACTTGACCATTACCTACTGGTTTGTTCCTGTAGTAACTAACCAGTTGTCCCCTAATAAGGCTTGGCTGTGTGTTCCCCAGTAAATACTGGTTAATTACCCATTAACTCCTGATTCGTTCCTCTTTGGTTTCCATGGTAACTACCCATTAGTTCTTCATTAGTTCTTCATTTACAAGGTAATTAACCAGTAGTCCCCTTATAAAGCTTTGCTGTGAGTTCCCCAGTAAGTACTGGTTAACTACTCATTATTTCCTGATTAGTTCCTGAGGCGTTCCCTAGTAGTTGATCAAATTTTGTGTACTTTATTGTAAAGTGTTCTTGTGAGTTCTTTGTGCTTTGTGGGGTTCAAACTCTACAGAACGTGACAGTAATGATGGTCTTGGGAAGACTTCCTTTGTCCCAAAACAATGTTTACAAGTTGAAGACTGAAGCCATGACACCAGGAACTGATACAGGGGCCGTGCACGCTCAGATGAACAGTTTATCAACACAGTGAACAGGTGCTATGAATGTAAAATGGTGTGTGTGTGTGTGTGGTGGGGGGGGGGGGATCCTCATTCAGTTCAAAAGTTTCAGTGTTATGAACCTGGTTCACTTTTTACCTCTTTTTTTTTTCTTTTCCTTTCCTTCTTCTTTCGGCTGCTCCCTTCTTCAGAGGCCACCACAGCGAACTAACTTGCACAAAGACTTGGGAATTGTTTCTATGCCGGATGCTCTTCCTGACACAACCACAGACCACCGAGCTACCACTGCCCTCTGTGTGGAGCAGAGAGCTGCCATAGGGCGCCCAGGGGAGTGGATGGTGGGGGTTAGGAACCTTGCTCAAGGGCCCAGAGTGGGGCAAATGAAAGTGGAGGCAGGTGAGTCAAATCAGTGTCCTTCCAATCACAGGCTCTTCTTCTCTAACCTCTGCTCCACCACTCCCCACCCCACAGAAACTAAGTGGCAATATATGCTTGAGATCTAACCTGACGCATGTTTGATAAATCTGTGAGGATGTTTATCTAAGTCAGACTGCAAATGATTAGTCAGGAAAGAAGAAAAATCTAAACTAAAATATATGAAACCTGATCAGGTTTCCTTTCTAACTAACACAGACTGAGACTTGTCAAGGAAAAACAAAACACAAATCAGTGATTTTGAGGTTTGAAGCCATGAAGTGAGACAGTCTCAGCTTGACACTCAGTAACTGTGTCTAAGCAGACCTAAAAATAACCAGCACAGTCAGTTAGCCCCCATGTGACATGACAAAGTTTAAAATAGATCAGCAAAAAAAAAACTATAAAGTCATAAATTGCAGACATAGCAGAATCCTTCCAGACTCACTGCCAAGAATTGTTATCCTTCATACTGAGTGAATTATCCAAATATATCTTTAACAGAATGTTTGTCTATAAAATTAAAATTGTGAAACAATGTGTAAAGCTATGAAAAATTATAAACTGAACATGTTTTAAAATGGCTCTGAGACTAAAAATGGTGTTTAAAGCACCGTCTCTTTTAATCAAATAAAACATTAACACACTGAAGCAGCAGCTGGATCCAAACTGTTGTTGTTGGACCTTTGTCCACAGTGGACAAACATCTTCATTTTGGTCTTATCTGACCAAAGAATATTTCTCCAGTAGTGTTGTGGTTTTTACTTTTCAAAGCTATAAGCCATGTTGATTTTTTTATATTTTTTTATAATGAGGTAAAAGCTTTTTCTGCAGCCCTTACAAACAGATTAGTCTTTTTCTGATATTGCTGTAATGAACTTTACAAAGTTAACAAAAGCCTTTTCTTTATTTTTGTGATTATAGTTCAGTCTAACTTTGAACTTTCCCTCCAAGGAAGATTTGGAACAGTATTTTTTTTTTATATCATTTTCACCCCCCAAACAATGTCAGATTCAAAAGAATGTGGATATGAACATCTCTTCAGATTGATGGGGAGAAACAGTAGCTTCTGAAATGTGATGCACATTCCTGACCACAGCTTTTAAGGGTTGATATGTTTTTGTGTAGATTTCATGCCAACACACCTGAATACTTCAGGTCAACAAATCAGATGCTGATTTTATAGTGCACACATTAACGATCAGGTTATATGTGCATTTAATTAGCGACACCTGGCAGGAAATTTTCCTCTTAAAGTAAAGCAACAATTAAGATCACTGGAATTCTGTGAAAGCCTACAAGCATTATTTTTTATCTAACCTTATGTAATTACCTTTTGAATGGACTCAGTTTAGAGAAATATTGATTAATTTTGATCAGACTGATGAGCTCATCTGAGCCGAGAAAAAGTGGCTTGCTGTAAAATTAAAATAGCTCCTGTTAAATATTTTATTGTGGTTCATGTGAACAGTAGTTAAACCTTTACACCATCATCAACTTTTTATTACAAAGTAATTCTAGCATAAGAATTATAAGATTTGTGTTAGAACTACCACAGGACACTGGAATCTGCTGTAGCTTTCAATTTAGCATCTTTATAATAATAAAATTCAGTGTATATAACTGTGTAATAACTGGTTTTTCAGATCACATCATTGGTTTATTCACTAACGCTTTCTCAGATCGGAGGCAATGTGTTCACATAATGGTACTTCCTTCAGTTATTTAATGGTAAACAATGGTGCACCACAAGGCTCAGTCTTAGGACCCACCCTCTTCACAATCTACATAGGTTCCACCCTCTTCACAAGCTACGTTGGTAATGTAGGTTAGATCATCCCTGATGCATCCTTACATTTGTATCTTGACGATACAGTTGTTTATTGTCGAGCTTAAACAGTTGCTAAGGCTTTCCAGCTTTGCAATGCACTTTTGACATCATCCAGTCTGATTTGTTCCATCTCAAACTTGTACTAAATGCCGACAAAACCAAAGGGATGTTGTTTTCTAACAGGAAGTCGGTCCCAGCAGTTCTTCCTTCGATTTTATCTTGGAATGGTGCTCTTATTGAGTTTGTCAATTCCTACAAATATTTGGGTATCTTGGTCGATTCGTATCTCTCTTTTAAGCTCCACGTAGAAAACTTGGTAAAGAAACTGAAAGTCAAACTGTGTTTCTTCTTCAGAAATAGATCCTGTCTAACTCTGAATGCTAGGAAACACCTTGTAACTGCAACTTTCCTTCCCTCCATTGATTACGATGACATTATTTACATGAATGCTCCTATAAGCACCCTGCAGATGTTGGATGCCGTCTATCACGGTGCACTAAGATTCATGACTGGCTGTAACTACTGTACCCACTATTGCACCCTGTATTCACTGGTTAACTGAACATCATTAACTTCACACAGACTCTCACTGGTACATTTTCTTCTTTAAATCACTTCTTGGTCTGTTGCCTTCATACATCTCCTCCTACATGTCTCTGTGTGAGTGCAGTTACAGCGTGCACTCTCAGGACATTATTACCTGCAGTGTTCCCTCAGTGAGGACTGAACTAGGTAAAAAGGCCTTCTCCTACTCCGCTCCTGTTTCCTGGAATATCTTGCAAAATGATCTGAATTTCTTGATCTTGACCTCTCTAAGTGGCTTCAAACATCTGTTAAGTTCCTGGGAAAAACCAATGCGGACATGTTCCTGTTTTTAGTTTTCTACATCACTTTACATTGTAGCTGTTTCTGTTTCATTTTTTAATATAATACTTTCAATTATTCTTCTAATTTTAAATGCTTTCTTTTATAATTGTCGACTGTTGTCATCATTCTTTGTTAAAAGCAGGTCTCTCTTGTAAATAAGTCCCTGAGACTCAACGGGACAAACCTGTATAAATAAAGGCTGAAAGTGTATACCCAAATGACAGCTGTGTAAAGGCTATTAAAATTGTGTTCACAGAAACTGCCTTGATTTTATTTATTTTTCTAAGACTGGAGTTGTTTAAGAGAGCATCAATCCAAGGTCAAAGTCTTGATCAGGCTAGCCATTAGTACATCAAACCCATCAAGATTAAAGTCCATTTCTCCAAACTGAAACTGTCCAAAGACTTACCTTAAACAGGTAAACATCCATCCATTATCTTTCGCTTATTCCAAAGTCAGTTCGCGGGGGCAGCAGCTGAAGCAGGGAGGTCCAGACATCTCTTTCCACAGCCACCTATTCCAGGTCTTCTGGGAGGATTCTAAGGAGTTCCCAGGTCAACCGAGAAACAGTCTCTCCAGCGTGTCCTGGGTCTTCCCCGGGGTCTCCTTCCAGTTGGACATTCCCGAAGCACCTCTCTAGAGAGGCGCCCAGGAAGCGTCCTTACCAGATGCCCGAACCACCTCAACTGGCTCCTCTCGTCGAAGTAAACATGCCATATTATTTGTTCATACATTTTCCACAAAACCACAATTTGAAATAAGTGAAATAGCTTTAACTTCTTCTGAAACATGTTATACATCTGTTTTGTGTTGTTCATTTAGGGTTGTATTTATTTAACTTTAGGTGTGATTAATTTGATTACAGCGGACTCGGTCCAACCTTAGAATAAAAAAAATGTTCCTAGTTTTCACCTCAAATAATAAACACTGCAAGTTGTTTAATACATCTGAATATCTAAGATTTATTTAAAATTTTAAATAAAATGAGACAAAATAGAAGAAAAAAACAATCCCATCATTAGGAGAGGCCTTTGTGAAAGGACATAAATCAAAGTCAGATGTGTGCAAACATGACTAAGGACTTTATTAACCAAATCATTTTTCCCATAATATTGACAAATAAAAGTGATCTCTTTATATATATTCACAATGTATAATTTCTCAGTGTGACAAAATTCTCTTTTCCTTAATTATTATTTTTTTGTTGTTGTCATTGTTGATTTCCAGCCATTCCTAATAATTGTCATTTGTTCAGTCGCCATGCAGTTGTCAGAAAGTTCGTAAAACATTAGGTTTGGTCAGCATAGGCGGTGGTGTCTTTTATCACTTTTCCTCTTCTCCACATTCTTCTTCTCTTCAGCCCCCAAATACAAATTTCATTACACTGCAACACTGAAAAGAACATAAATAAAGAAAACATTGTTCTGCACAATGATCCTGGAGGAGTCCTTCCACATTCCCCGTCCAATTTTTATTCATTCTTTTTTTTTTTCTATTTTCAGTTTTTATACAATAATATCAATAATAATGACTATAATTGTCCTCGATATAAATTCAATATTTTTTTCCTCTTTCGCAAATTTTAAATAAATCATTCTGGCAATCCTTTTTATTTTGTCACTTTAGAATCACTTTAGAATAAAAGAATACTCAAGTAGAAAATAAAAACTGTGAGAGAAAATTCTTCAGAAGAGGAGTGAGATGTGAGAGAAAGAAACGTGAAAGCAACAGTGACGAGCAGGAGAGGGCAGAAAGAAAAGAGTAAAAGAAAGAAAGACAGACTGAAAGAGTAGCATGTCAGAAACGGCTCTATGTACAACAGTTTCTGTTGTGGGAAACTGTCCCTCCTGTGCCTGTTGTCTGTCTCCTGTCCCTCGTCTCATGTTTCTGCAGAGTCCACGTGTCCCCGTGTTATACCAGAGTGTACGACTTGGCATAAGGGTTGTTGCTCTGTTTCAGGTGTCCTCTGGAGTCCAGAAGAGACTCCTGGGAGGTGCTGAGCTTGGCAGCCTGTGCTTGAGCTAAATCTCCTGAGGAGGCACCCTCTCCCCGGACCTCCCCCCGGGCCTCTCCCCTTTCCCGGACCTCCCTGTGCGGGAGGGTTGAAGCAGTTCCCGGCTGCCACTGCTGCACCTCCCTGGGAGAGGGCACTTCCATGGGGGTGGGCTCCATCGGAGGAGGCCTCTTAAGGGTGCGGCTCCTCTGGGGTTCAAGGCAGGTTTGGCCCATTGCTCCCGCTCCTCCTCTTGTTTCCCCGGTAGCACCAGCAGCACCTCCGCTTGCTCCTGCAGCTCCTCCACCTCCTCCACTGCTACTGCTGCCACTACTACTACTGACCCCCCCTCCTCGGGCTGGCAGGGGCACACCCCGGTTCAAAAGGAAGTCCATACGAAGATAGGGTGGCAAATGGACCAGCTCTCCTCCTGGGAGTGAAAACAAAGAGGCGGTGAATTAGAAACATTGAAGTTACTGTGTTCACAGCACATGAGAAATGTTGCTGAATTCAAAATAGAATTCAAAATCTTACTTCTAACCTACAAAGCTCTCAACAACCTAGCTCCATCTTATATTACTGATCTTATTGTTCCATAATTTTCTAACAGTGCACTTTGCTCTCAGACTGCAGGCTTACTTGCAGTTCCTAGAGTTTCCAAGAGAAGAATGGGAGGAAGATCTTTCAGTTATCAGGCTCCTCTCTTGTGGAACCAACTTCCAGTTTCTGTCCGTGAGGCTGACACACTGTCCAGTTTTAAGACTGGGATTAAGACTCTCCTTTTTGATAAATCCTATAGTAAGTCAGCTTGGTTTCCTGACCTATTCCTTATCCCATGCTGCTATAACCTTAGACTACTGGAGAACAAATGGATCTTATTTCATCAAATGAACAGTTACAAATACAAATGAATAGTCTGTATTTATATATTTTTTTTCTTAACATGTGATTTTGGTCTTTTTGTCTTTCCTCCTAGAGAAAAAACACGATGCCCTCCATCCTGGACCTACCATTGTGTGCTTATTTCTCCTTCCTGTCTTCTTGGGCCCAGCCAGTCGAACTAGATGGCCACTTGTCCTGAGCCTACCGTATTTTTTGGTGTATAATTCGCAATTTTTACACAGATTTGTCAGTCCTGCGACTTATATGTTTTTTTTTCTTCCATATTCATAACACAATTTTTGACTGAAGCTTTGAAATTTGAAGAACTTCAACAGTGAGTCCTCCCATGCCCGCTCACTTCACTCAGCAGGTACAGGTGGAGAAATGCTGGAGAGCTCACAGCTCTGACCATGATGGATGGATGGGTGGCGCCGTGCCACCCCGGCTAAATGAAGCTGTTTTGGCCATTAAATAAATGCATAATAAATGTGACGGGTCAGCGGTGATACATAATAAATGTTACTTATATATGTTTTTCCTCTATGATACTTTTTTTTTGACTGATGCGACTTATACTCCGGAGTGACTTATATGCCAGAAAATACGGTAAATGTTTTTTTATAATGTTCTGACTACAGATTCAGCAGAAAAGCATAACATTTGAAGCAGTTTAAAAAGCTGAAAATGTTCTAATAGGTTTGAATTCAATTCTCTAAAATACAAGTTAAACTGCCTATGTCTAGAAAAAGCTATCAACATAAGAAGGAAACTGCAGTGACAACTGTAGTCCGATACCTACATGGTCTACCCACTGTAACGGACACCAGTCTTTGCATTAGGAGCTGCCACTCCAACCTGATGGACCAAGAGTTTGTTGTGACACTGAAAGGTCTGCCCTGTAGCAGCAAAGTGTTGTTTTGTACTGAGCGACAATAGTTTCAGATCAGGTTTTCAGATAGCCTTTAGGTGCCCTCTCCCCCCTAGACATGTTTGATGCCCTGTGCACAAATAAGTTTATAACATAATGGGTCCTGAAATCTAAGAAGATGATTGGATGTCTTTAAACTCTTGTCTGGTCTAACTGGGAAGGTTGATCCTTCCACGCACACCTGAAGCCCTTTTCTGCTGCTCGATGGCCAGCTGACCTCCAACATGGCTAATTATCAACAGCGCCAGACATACAATGACATGAGAGCAGCAGGCATGATGGATGAGCTGTCTATACACGTCAGAGAGGAAGATGTTTGTCAGTTTGAACATCTGTGCTTTGTGTGTGGTCACATGCTGCTTGTGTGCACCAGAAGATCTGGTAACTGATCTGTCTGGAGAAGCAGAGGGTCACTTCAAGTAACCGAACCTGACAACAGATAAGTAAAAGCTTTTGAGACGGAGTCCTCATGCAGCTTTAACATAAAAAAAATGTATTGCAAAATGTTTTGGGTCTATAGTGCTGAGTAAAACAGCAGTGCCATGACCTTTGATGGGCTTAGTTAAGCTGCTGAGAGTGTAAGAACTGCACACAAACAGGGAGTTCCTCCAACAAAACACTACTAATGCATCTTGTGAGAGTAGCAGAGGTAAATAATGATGCATATCTTCTGATCAGAAGCTATCGCTGGCAAAACCACATCTAAAAAATGGCCAAATATGCAAAGAAGTGAAGAAAATAAAAGTCATTTGTAGCTCTATCTTTAAATTGTAACAATCCAATTGTAACATTTGACATGAATTCTTCCTGTGATTATACCCTTCCTGTAAATTGTTGTTTGCTCAATTATTTTTGACTCTAATGAAATCCCAGACTGTCTTTATGCCAAAAAGGGAACATAATAAATAAAAAATTATAGGCTTGATTACATATTACGCAGCTGGGTATACTAAAAATTTGAGGAATTTATCTCATCCACACAAAGTTGCCAAACGACTTGTGAATACATTCCTATGTCCTCACCGGGTCTGTGCGCCTTCGGCACGGCCATGTTCATGACCCTGCTGACATCCTGAGGTTTGGGCGGGGAAGCAGTAAAGCGGCAGATGCCAGACTCAGATGGTGTGCTGGAGGTCATGCTGTCGGTGTAGTCGTTGGTTCCTGCTGTCATCTGTTCGGATGACGTGTCCGAGATGAAACACTCCGTGATGGTGAACTTGGCATGGCGGAGCTGCTCTTCCATCTTGGCGTGCTCGTAGGCTCTGGCCAGCTCTTCGTAGGTGGAGGACGCACTCTCTGTTGATACCATACTGCTCCGTGCACGATCTAATAACAAGGCACAAAAATTATAATTATTTACTCACTGGAAGAACACAGGGAGTAGTGGCGAGGAGATTTAGAGATGTCAGGCCAGTGATCAAGAGGTCGCCAGTTTAAATCCCATGACGGTAACATCAACATTTAAGTGGAACAGGTGAAGCACCCACACCTGCCTCCATCTCCATTTGTCCCACTGTGGCCCCTTAATGGCAGCCCTCTTCTCCACACATGTGGGTTGTGGTAGCTTAGTGGTCTGTGGTTGCATCAGGAAGGGCATCTGGTGTAAAAACTATCACCAAGACTTCATGTGGGTTCACAACCCCTGAGAAAGGGAGCAGCCGCAAAAAGAAACCAAACCAAAAAAAAAAAACCTCACTGAAAAACATACGGTAGCGAAATGCACCTGATTTAGAGCAGTAGAATAGTAGTAGATTTGTAGAATTAAGTAAAAATGTGTTGTATTTTTGTGCAAATCTTTATAAACAATTATTATCTTATCTGCTGTAGATAACACTTTGAACAACCTCAGTTTGGAGAAATAAAGGTTAGTTTTGACCAATGAGCTGAGGACTAACAGGGCCCAAACCAAAGTAGATTTCTGCCACCTTTAAACAATCCTAAAAACAACAAAAAAAGGTTACATCATGTCATCTGGACCGGTTTCTTTCAATGAGAAACGTTTCATCGCCCATCCGAAAGACTTCCTCAGTCTACGGCCTGCCAACCAGATCTGTCCCACAGGTAGCCTTCACTGCTGCGGTTCAAGCTAAATCTCTAAAGTAGGCTTTTAACACATACAAAACAATCAATCATCATGTACAACAAGCAAATGTTTTAGGCCCGATGGCCAACTTGCTACTCACAGAAACAGCCTGTGCTTGAAACATAGCAGGGGCGTCAAACTCTGTTACAAAAAGGGGGTCAAAATTAAAAACTTATTTCAAACCAAGGACCAACTTCAGTCAATATGACCTCCAGTCAGATACTTGACATCATTTTCTTGGTTGCAGTTTCCACAACAAAAGTTTTTGTCAGTCTCATTTGACGTACTTTGTCACTTTTACTGCATCAAAATCAAAGGTTACAGAAAATTTCAAGCTAGTTTTTCTTGGCTTCAAAGTTGTCCAACTGTCGTGAGAAGTCTTAATTAAAGTAGGCTCAGTTCTGACGTAAAATGAAAAGCAGTAAAACTATTTTACTTTTAAAATATCATCTTAGGGGCCAGATGAGATGTTAACAAGGGCCATATTTGGCCCCCAGGCCTTGAGTTTGACACATGTGCAACTGAGGAAGTCTTCCGGATGGGAGATGAAACGTTTCTTATTTAAAGAAACTGGTCCAGATGACATGATTTAACCTTTTTTGTTGTTATCTACCTGGATGATTGAGCTGAACAAACTTTTTTTTTTTTTTATCCTAAAAGTTTTAACAACTCATGAAAACACAATTTTATAAACCATTAAAAAAACAGTAAATTTCTCATTGCACATTCTTTAATGGCGAAAATTTGAGATTCATGCTTGAAGTATCCCAGTCTGCACTGAAAGTGTTATAGCTAGCTGCTGCTGCTAGTAGCTCTTGATATTACAAGTAGTATTCTCATTTATTTTTTTACAAACCTTTATTTAACCAGGCAAATCCCATTGAGATCACAGATCTCTTTTGCGGGGAAACCGGAGTACCCGGAGAAAACCCACACAAGCACGAGAAGAACATGCAAACTCTGCACAGAAAGACCCCAGGTCCAACCGGGGATTGAACCCAGGACCTTCTTGCTGTGAGGCAACAGTGCTAACCACTGAGCCATTGTGCCTTATGTAAGTGACTGTGTAATGTATTGTACATTTAACAGCAGTGTCTGTTTAAAAAGTAGCATTTGCATTAAACCACTGAGATTTTTATATATGAGTGTTGTTTTAATAATAGTAATTAACTTTCAAGTTGGCTCTACTGAAATTAGCCGTGAGCTCTATCTCAGTCAGAAAGTAACACCTGCTCCAAAGTTAGAAAGAAGAAGCTATTTAAAAGTAAGGGATTGAAATGCACAATTCAGCAGATCTGAACAGTTTTAAGTTGATTGTTGTATAAATCTCAGTCAGATGAGCATCCCACAGCTGCTCTTTAGTCTTCTTTTCTTTATAAAAACTGCAATCAAAATTGTTTTGATTTTTTTATGCTTTATCATCATATTACTGATGTCAGTACGTTGTTTTTTTAATGATCTAGCAAAAGCAAAATGCTTGAAGCCAAAACTTTTATTTTTTAAAACAACAACAAAAACAAAAAAAGTCAGTGAATAGATTTTGTTTGGCCGTCCATCTTTGCTCTACCTGTATCCTGAGAAGGGCTGACGCTGTAGCTGTCGCTCTCTTTGTCTACAGATCCAGTGGCGCGTGGTGTTGGTAGCCTCCAGTCAGTGGTCAGAGTGTGTGAGGAGCTGGTAGGGTGAGGCCGGTTCAGAGTCCACTGACTGGCGTAGCGGCTCCGTGCTGCAGTGGGACCAGCTTTGGCAGTGCGTCTGGCAGTGGGATCTAATAATGACATTGAAATAATTTCAAATCATTTCAAACCATTTGACTGAACATTAATTCACGTTTTGTTGGTTTTCTGCAAGGCGGCTCGGTTGCTCAGTTAGTACAGCTGTTGCCTCTCAGCAAGAAGGTTGTCAGTTCAAATCCCAGTCTGGCACCTTTGTTTGCATGTTCTCTCCGTGCATACGTGGGTTTTCTCCGGGTACTCCGGTTTCCTCCCACAGCCCAAAAACATGTATGTTAGACTGATTGGTAACTCTAAATTGTCTCTAGGTGTGAGTGAGAGAGTGAATGGTTGTTTGTCTCATTTGTCTCTATGTGGCCCTGTGATGGACTTGCGACCTGTCCTAGGTGTCCCCCGCCCCTCGCACAATGACTGCTGGACATGGGCACCAGTGACCCCCATGACCCGAAAAGAAAAGTGGTTAAAGATAATGGATGGATGGATGGATGGATGGATGGATGGATGGATGGATGGATGGATGGATGGAAGTTTAATCCATTTTGGGATTTCATCAATTTAATTGCATGACATCCTCACTAATCATAACACAAATTGAAATTAGGACCTGGATTTACTTTCTCTGTTCTCTGATCCCCATTCATTGCCACTGGTCTTAAACTCCATAAACAAACAGCTTGTATCATATTCATCCGGATCCAGACAGGCTGCTGGCACCTTAAGAATTGCTGGACACAACAACTGTGAAACACTTTATAAAAGTCTGAGACTGGATCTGCGCAAACAAGAATGATGCTGGTAATTGTCAGACTATAAATCAGTTGTAGATGAAATAGACGGATAGAATGATGGGAGGGAGGGGGCATTTGCAAAAGAACAAAGGGCTGAAACAGCAGCGTGAGTTCAAGCCCCACTGGTCAGGTTAAATGAATCAATAATGTGACACCTGGGATGTGTATTCCTGTGATGAGTGAAGGGACTGATATAAGCTAATGTGTGATTACACTGATGTGCATTGTACTTCTTTATATGCATTCAATTTATGTTGAGCTGGTTGAAAGTGTGCCAGTCATACTATAAAAATATACTATGTTATGTTAAAATAAAAAATGTGTCTCCTTTTGTAAAAAATTGCACATGGCTGAACTATTTTTTTTTTCATTCAACCTTTATTTAGACAGGTAAATCCCATTGAGCCTCGAGGACTCATTTACAAGAGAGACCTGATTTCAACAAAGAAAGATGACAACAATGGACAACAGCGACAATGTATTTTTTTTATACCTAAACCTGTAATTTGAGCACATCACTTTCTGTGTCACTGATCCAAGACTGCAGGTAGTGAGACCCGAGTTGTGGAGTAGGCAGTTACACGAGTTTGTGTTAAGGAAAAGCCGGAGATCAGTGTTCTTCATCAGTTTGGCTTCAGTGGAGCTTAAATACCAGAAACCCAGCAGCTGAGCTGCAGCTTCTGTGTGGCTCGGTCAATCAAAACCATCTGCAGGCATATTCTGTACGGATTAACAGAAAACCCACATCCCCACAATTTATCGCCTGCTAACTGATAAACAAAATTGTTTTTTTTTATCTTTACTATTAAATTTTGGAATATCTTACAAGTCACTTGATGGCTTTTTAATAAAATGTTCATAAATCAAAGGATGTACATCTACAGCTCTTTCAAGATGGCTGCCACAGCCTTATATACAGTGTCTATACTTCAGAGAAATTTCAACTCATCTGCAAACATTTGGTGCAGTAGTAGCTGAGAGTCATTCAAAACACACATTCCAAGGGCTATCAGATCATGAGAGATAGCCCAATACCACCTGAGAAAGCGCTTGCTATTCTCAGGGATTAACCAAATTATAAATCTATAAATGACTAAAAGTATTTTCATTTTACAACATGAAATGTTGACTTTAAAACTCTGGTATGAAAGGTGATGCCCTTTAATTGCATTTTGGGTTGATGATCTTAAAATAAAATCTACAAGAGTAGAAACAGACCACACATATCCACCTTATTCCTAGCCTCCATGCTCCCTTGCATGAATTATGGGTTGTTCTACTTCTGGCATGGACCAGAACCGGCGTTTGTTTATGTGCGAACAGTATGAGCTAATGTAATTTCTCTGAGCATTGTGGATTTAATTTAAACATGTGGGAACACCACTGTCAGAACTCAAACAGGACAATATATATTTTTTATTTGATTCTTTTCTCACTTGCCCTAGACGAAGACAAATGCTTTTCTTCCCTCTCCTGCCTTCCTCCTGCATTTGCATCTTGTCCTGTATATCAGAGCCTGTCTTTATACATTTTCCAATTCGTAAATTATTATTATGGATCTAGTCAGCTGGTCTTAACGCAATTGATAATTTTTTTTCGACCAAGAGACAGGGTGCTGGAAAGGCCTCATGCCTTGAACGGACACAATCAGCTGGGTACATCATGGGTTCCTGGGGGCAGTGGAAGATGATGTGCCTGTCTGTACTGTCTGTGGTGGACATAGAAGACGTGTCCATTATTGGATTTATGATAACAGGGTTTCCGCTTTTTGAAATCAGCAGATACCTAGGATATCGACAAATTAGGAAGACATCGGCAGCAGTTTCCATGGTAAAGCTGCCACCCTTATGTGAAGGACTAATTTGTGCTTTGAGTGCTCAGACTCAAATGTGTTGCGAGCTCAACCATAAGCTGGACGTGATTTCTGAGAATCGTAGGCCACTTGCGGCTCCTGGAACTCGCCGGCATGAAGAATTCTACCTTGGAGAAGGCTAACAAGCAAGGACCGGTGGAATGTCCACAAATCTGGCTGTTTGGATTCACCATCAAGAGTACCAGCAGAACCGAAGGCAGACAGAAATTGATATAATTGCCCAAAACAATTATTGTTTATGTGAATCTGGCCTCCCTGCTTGGCCTTGGATAGGCCAACTTATTTGAAATTGCTCCTGGTGAATATGTAAATCAAGACGCTCTGCTCTGTCCACCCCTGGAAGGGTTCATGGACAGATCTCACCGTCTTGTCATCCATCCATATGTATTGTGCCTATCTATGGTGCTTGCTGTGGTAGATTTGTTTATGCCTTAAACCATGCCCTGTCAAGGACACGGTGTGAGAGATCTTTATTTTAATACCTCTCTCCTCATGCTTTCTTCACCTTTTCTTAACTAAACAATAAGGGCAGCACTTCTTAAAAGCTGCAGCCCCTATACACTTACGTCCATCTTTAGGATGGATGTGCAGAATGTAATGTTGTTGTTCTTCACTGTGCAATGACAATAACGCTTATTCTGATTCTGATAATCATACTGCTGCCTGCTGCAGACGAGGGATGAAGGACGAGCTGAAGAAGGGCGAGCTGAAGAAGTGGATGCAGATTACATCTACTAGCATATTTAGCTACTTCATTAACTCGGTTCTCCCGACATTGAAGTGACGAACCTAAAAATCTCTGAGGTATATTAGTATCTACACAGTAATAAGGTTAGTCATGTTTTGTTTAAAGTGGTGGGACACAATCTTATTTATCTTGAAGCAGAGACAGAGTCCAGCCAAAGCCTTAAAGTCCTCCATCACTGAGCTTGGATTAATTACAGAGAAAATCCTAATACTGAAGACGAACAAATACTATGATGCTGTGTCCTCCATACACTTGAAATCACATGATATTCTCGTCACACTGTTTTCAATCCTTCTGAGGGTCCAGCGTCTCTTCTCCAATGTTTTATTGTAGTCCAGCCACAAAGTAGGATGCAGGTTTTCCTCTGTCGCCCGTTTGTCAACAAAATGAAATTAGCTCACATACAGCGTTTTAGGTGGTCTCTTCAAGTTCACATTTTTCAGTCACATTCTTCTTAATTCCTCATCTGTAAGTAGGTGATGAAACTGTACCAATTTTCAAAGGCACACTTTTTTTGTCTGTTTTGGGTCCGTGTTCAAAACACTGTTGTTGTAGGCACTGATTTGGTTGTTCGTGCAGCCGCGAACACAACAGGTACCTGAACTCAGCAAAGCTATTTTAGTAAACTTTATAGTTGTTAACTAAATGTGAACAAAACAAAATCAGCATTTTATCTGCTAAACTGAATGCAAATTACTTTCAAATAAACCGTGGTCCCTGCTCTGCTGTCATGGTTAACCAATGCTTACTGCTACTTCCTGTCTGACAGGAAGTTGTCCCCATAATCATTTACAGTAGAGCCCCCAGGAAAAAGGTGGATATAAAACAAATTCACTGCTAAATCTACATTACATTTTATTTAGTGTTAGCTAAACAAGACTCAACACATTTTAAATGTTAGTAGTAAAGAATATAAATGTGAGCACTGACAGTGGTGGGACTCACTGGTTCCAGGCCTAGCATCGGACACATCCACCAGGGGCCCAGTGGCCTGGGACAGAGACTGGTAGTGGACAGTATGAGTCACTGTGGAAGACTTCTGCTTATTGGTCTCCCCAAAATCATTGTCTGTCAGCAACACAGTGGACCTGTCATCTAAAAGAGAGGAAGCAGGGATGGAGGTGTAAGTAAAAAGAGGATGATGACCAACAAGAAGAAGTCTCCCTTCTAGCGTCTCACCGATTGTTTCCATGGTGTCCCGCTCCTCGATGAGGAGCTGAGCTCTGGGGATGTCGATGTGCATTCGTAAAGTCTGCTGCTGCTTGTTCACTGTGTCTGGCGTCCGTGTGTTCTTACTGTGGAGATATATGAGAAAAACACATTACTGCTCAGCTGTGTGGTGCTACATTGTATCACAGAAATTCAAATTCAGCTCCACTTAAGTTGATACGAAGCTGTATAAAAGCAAAAAGATAGCATGAGGTAATATATTTGATATTTACTGAAAGGTTCTGTAACTTTAGCCTAGGACGTGATTTATGTTCTGGCTAAAAGGAAATGAGTGTGCACAAATTAAAATTAAGACTACATACCTCATCAGCATTTCTGCCAGGCTTTTGGCATCTGTAAAGTCAGCAAATACATGGTTAACACTACAATAAACTAGTCTCGTGTTGCTGAGGTAGAGCCCTGGGGATTATCTAAAAGCATTCAGGAATCTTCTTAGAAACGGTGCTTTTAAAAGTATTGTGCAGCACACACAAACACATATTTAAGTTTCTCAACAAAAATGACAGTTCTGAAGTGATGTTCTATCAAATGCTTGTTAATAGTTAGTACCTTATCTGCTCACGTTACAGACTTAGCGTACAGTTTAATCAGCTTAAAGGAAGGATTCAAATACATAAAGTGGAGCTCTGTGGAGAAGTTATAATGTCTTGGATTTCTAACAACCTCAGTTTGGAAAATTTTAGTTTGATCCTGACCAGATTCATGAGCTACAGCCTGGTCCAAGAGATGCTAAAACTCAAGTAAAATTTATCTAAAAACAATTCCAGTCTCAAACTATTCTGATTTTCTTGCCATAACTGTTCAAAAAATCTTTACACTACAGTCACATTCATACTACACAAGTTCTATAGCACCAACCTTATGATGCTCTTGCTGCCACTATTTGCTTTTGCAAAATATATACCTGGTAGTGTTGTATTATGTACCTGGTGGTTTTAGCTTCTCTCCAGTAGCTCCCTGTCAAATTCAGAATTGAATTCTAAATCTTACTTCTAACCTACAAAGCCCTCAACAACCTAGCTCCATCTTATATTACATACCTTATTGTTCCATATTTTCTTAACAGTTCACTCTCAGACTGCAGGCTTACTTGTGATTCGTAGAGTTTTCAAAAGCAGAATGGGAGGAATATCTTTCAGTTATCAGGCTCCTCTCTTGTGGAACCAAATTCCAGTTTCTGTCCGTGAGACTGACACATTGTGCAGTTTTAAGAATGGGATTAAGACGTTCTTTTTTGATAAATCCTATAGTAAGTCAGCTTGGTTTCCTGACCTATTCCTTATCCTATGCTGCTATAACCTTAGACAACTGGAGAACAAATGGATCTTATTTCATCAAATGAACAGTTACAAATACAAATTAATAGTTTGTATTTGTAATTATTCTTTCTAAACGTGATTTCAGTCTTTATGTCTTTCCTCCTAGAGAAAACCTTATGGCCTCGATCCTGGACCTGCCATTGTGTATCTGTTCCTCTCAAACCCAGCTGGTCGAAGCAGATGGCCGCTTGTCCAGAGCCTGGTTCTGCTGGAGGATTCTTCCTCATGAGGGAGGTTTTCCTTTCCGCAGTTGCCTCTGTGCTCACTTGGGATGGGAGAATGCGATGAAGTGGAAACTCAAAGCAATCTGCTGGCTCCTTAGATAAATAATGTTATTAACTGACTTTATGTGTATCTATGTATGAATTGTACAGTGTCCTGAGATGACGTCTCTTGTGATTTGGCATTATATAAACAAATTGAATTGAACTGAAGTGAAATTGTATGTAAATGACTGTGTAATGTGAAACTGATATTAATATGTGACTTTTATTTTGTTAAAGTGAACCACATTTTTCAGATTGAAGTTAATCTTGGTTTTACTTGGACCAATCAGCCATTAGCTCACCAGTCTGTTCCGAATTAAACTCTTTCTCCAAACTGAAGTTGTCTAAAAAACAAAGTGCAATTTCCTACAGGAGTCATTATTTTACCAAATATTTCTTTTCCGTATCCTCCCCAGCCTGAAAATGCCTCAGGATCCCCAAGAGGATCTGGAGACTCTTGCTCATGGTAGGGATATCTATGTACCTCCTGGACAAGCTGCCTGCTCTACCCAACCACACTTAACCAGCAAATAATAGAGGGATAATCTTTCCACAAAACCCCACTTCAAAATACCTGAACTGAGAGTTTAAAGATTGAAGAAAATATACTGAACATTTTTGACAAAAAATGTGATGAACCTTTTACAACATAATATACAAACAATTTGACTTGTAACATACCTCGGAGTCTCTTGAGCCTCTGTTCCCTCCTCCTCCTTTTTAGCACCATTAGCATAATAAAAACCAACACAGCCACCACGAGGATGGATGTGATAGTTACCACCATCTTCAGACCACCACTGCCTGACATGTTGTCTGAGATGGGGTCTCCTGTTTTCAGCAGTGGTGGGATGGTGCCTTTGTGGAAAAGAAAATAGTAAGAAATAGGTAGCAGATTTGTTGAAGACTGTGGAGCATGTGAGCAAAGTTGAAGATGTTGAGGTTCTCCTTGGGAGTGACAAGGATGGATAAGATTAGAAATTAGATCATCAGAGGTATAGCACAGGTTGAACAACTGGGAATAAAGTTAGAGAGACCAGACTGAGATGGTTTGGACATGTCCAGAGGAGGGACAGTGGGTATATTGGTAGAAGGATGTTAGAAATGCAGCTGCCAGGAAAAAGACAAAGTGGAGATATATGGATGCAGTTAGAGAGGACATGGAGGTACTTTGTAGTTGGAGTGAGGACAGAGGATGCAGAGGACAGAGTGAGATGGAGGATGACTCGCTGTGGCGACCCCTAAAGAGGGAACAGCAAAAAAAATAAAAATAAAAGAAGATCCCAAAGGTTTTTTTTAAGTCACCAACACATGTTCTTAAAACTGGGGTAGAAATCTGGTTTTTCCAAGAAAGTCATTTTGGCCTAGGTAAAAGAATAAAACTATGATATGTTGTTTATATCAAGGTACTTTTCATGGCGCTTGGTAAAGTTCTTGAAGCATTTCCAAAATTTAGTTGATTGATCTGTAAAATACACAGGAATGGTGCAGGTTTCTATGTTCCCTACTTACTTCCATCAGAGTTGAGAGTGGCGAAGGTGATCCGCTTTTCTGCTGAGCCAGCACTGTTGGTAACCTTCATCTGCAACTCATACCATGTCGCCTCCAGCAGGTCGTACAGAATGTAGCTCTTGGTGAGTGAGGTGCGCTGAGCCGTGGTCCAGGTGGGGGAGTCCACAGCTCGATACTCCAGAATGAAGGTGGTGATCGGACAGCCGCCGTTGTTCCAGCCAGCTAGGTTGAGTCTCGCCCTGGTGGAGTTGATGCTGGTGAAAAGTTCGTGGTCTTTGGCAAACTGAGGTTCTGAGAATAGAACAGATAGCAAAACCTTATCATATTGAAGCTCACACTCCAGCACCAATAAAACAAGACTTATAAGTAAAATAATTCATGATATATTTTAACCCTAAAATGTTCTGCATTCTGAGGTTCACAAATGGAAATATACAGTAAAACCCCTTGTACAATATATATTTTTTACCTTTCCCATGAGTCTTGGCTTCAATGATCTCACTGATACGTCCAGGACCCACTGCATTCTGGGCTGTCAATGTAAATTTGTACCACGTGCCACATTTTAGATTCTCCAGACGGTATGAACGCTCACTGGGGCTGATGGGAAAACTCCCCCACTGCTCACTGTTATCTTCGGAGTACTGCAGGATGTAACCTGAGAGGGAGGAGAGAAGGAACAAATTGAAGATAGGAGAGAAAGTAAATAAATGTTTCAAAATAAAATAGAGAAACTAAGTGAATGTTGAGCATTGGGGGGGTGGGTGGGGGTGGGGGGCTTGCTCGAGGGCTCACAGTGGGGAAGTGTGGGTGATCACTTTTCACATTCAAATTTTGACGTAACAGTTAGGGGATCCAAACCAGCAACCACTCGATCAGAGGCATGTATTCTCTAACCTCTGCACCACCACGCCCCAAGAAAATATTTATAAATAAAGTTAAATATTTAGAGAATTATAAAACTTACAACAACAAAAACAATGGAAACATTTATTGAATGAGCTAAAGACTTGGATATATAAATGTCTCAAATATAGCACCAAATAGTTTTATTTATTTCAGAAATTGAAAGTATGCACAAGTATGTTGATTGCAAAATGTGTACAGAAATATAAAAACAGGAAAACAATCGTCTGAATGCTTAATCAGCATTTAAACAACTAGACATAATTTAATTTCAGTAATACATTTATGCCAGTTTTCTGTATTTCTGCAGAAATCTGTTAAAATTGCATCACTTGTAGCTACTCTTACATTTGTGGCTGCAAAACTAGAGTTGTTTTAAAAAAATGCAAATATGAAAATGACATTTTTTTTTTAAATTATAAAACAGTTTCACCCTAAAAACAATACATTGCACACAAAGGAGTTCTAAGGTATTTCTTATTTCTGAAAGTTGACTTGAAAGACAAAATATTCTCATAATAACCAACAAACATGCCATTTTCTTTAGCAGGGAGCTTCTCTGCACGTAATACTTTGTACAATTATGAAGCAAGATTACATAATTTATTCCAAATGGTTGTGTTGACAGTTTAAGGACAGGGTGACCAAACGTAAAACTTCCATCTGTGCAGCAGAGTACTGTACATACAAGGCAACAAAAAGACAACACTAATCTCAGAGGTGTGCACACACACGTGTGTCTCTGTCTGTCTGTGTGTTCTGGTGATGAATGATGCTATGAACAGAAAAGGAAAACAAATATCACAGAGTATGGACCACAAACAGCTTCTACTGCAGCTTCATCTCTGAAGACCGGAGCTGCTTGATTAACAGCGGTGATAAATCACCACAAACAGTCTCTCTGTGATTGGGCTTTAAGATGGAACACTTTAATCTTCCACTTAAATGGAACTAATCTTTTCTCCTGTGTTTTAATCTCGCTTTTAGGACTTGAGTGTTGTGCTGGACCAGCAGATAATGAGATGAAGGTCCAGAACAGCAGAGCTGGACCAAAGTGGGTGGAAGACAAACAGCTGACAGAAAGTGAGCTTTCACATTTATACGTGGATGTGATCAAACTCTTCATTTAGCTCCTCCTGCTGTGCATATTGTCAGTGTGACACACTCACCTCTAATGGAGCTCCCTCCATTGTCTCCAGGTATCCATGACAACGTGATTGATGTGGTGGTCGTCTTGGTAACCGTAAGGCGTGGTTGGTCAGGAGGTACTGTGAACAGCATGGTGAAGCAAAAGGTCACTACACAAAAAGTTTGATAAAATATCTTGTGTCCAGACTAAGGGTCACTTCAGATATTTTGATTAAAAACTGAGAACTGAGACCAAAAATGCACCCAAAAATATTTATATGGTACAATATATTTTTCTTTAGTCTTAGGCACTATTCTTTGTATAAATGAAAACTGTTTTGCATAGACATTTATTTTTATTTTTATTGTTTCGTTTTAAAATATATATCTCAGTGGGTCTTTTTATGTTTCTCTTTCTGTGTGATTGCTTGGACCATAAGAGTTCAAATAAAGTTTGGATGACGTTGTTTGATGTGCTGCTTTGAAGCTCAGCATCTGGTTGTTGCTATCCATGATTTTGAATCCACAAGGGGACAGTTTGTTTGGGAAAATGGCGTAGGAGAATGACATTAGAAGCTAGATTAGACCAAAAAAACCACCTTTGGCATATTCAAGTGATAGAGTAGGATGATTTAATGAGAGTTGATAGCAGAGATGTCTCTCCAGTTTTAGCTTCTCTCCATAGGCCCCCTTTCAAGTTCAGAATATAATTTCAAAATCTTACTACTAACCTACAAAGCTCTCAACAACCTAGCTCCATTTTATATTTGAGATCTTATTGTTCCATATTCGTCTAACAGAGCACTTCACTCTCAGACTGCAGGTTTACTTGTGGTTCCTAGCGTTTCCAAAAGCAGAATGGGATAAAGATCTTTCAGTTATCAGGCTCCTCTCTTATGGAACCAACTTCCAGTTTCTGTCTGTGAGGCTGACCCGTCCAGTTTTAAAACTGGGCTTAAGATTTTTCGTTTTGATAAATCCTATAGTTAGGCTCAGATTGGGTTTCCTGAGCTATTCGTTAGTTAAACCTATGCTGTAGGCTTGGACTGCTGGAAGACAAACTGAACACATTTCTTCACTCTGCTACTGTCTTTACTTACTCTGCTCAACCTGTTTTGTATTTGTAATTATTTTTTTCTATCCTTGACATGTGTTTTTGTCTTTCAGGAACACCTGCATCTACACCTGAATCTACCATTCTGTGTTTGTTTGTCTCTCCTTTCTGTCCTCTCAAACCCAGCCAGTCAAAGCAGATGGCCGCTTGTCCTGAGCCTGGTGCTGCTGGAGGTTTCTTCCTGTTATTAGGGAGTTTTTCCTTTCCGCTGTTGCCATTGTGCTTGCTCAAGATGGGAGACTGCAACGAAGTGAAGATTCAATGAGTCTGCTGCTTCCTTAGATAGAGAACTTTACTAATTGGCTTTTTTATGTACTGGTATGTGAATGGTTTTGTTCAGTGCCCTAAGACAACTTCTCTTGTGATTTGTCGCTATACAAATAAACTGAATTTAATTTAATTTAGTTTAAAGTGGTGTTTTGTAGAGGAGTTATGAACAACTAATATATTTTGTAGATAGTTCATTGACCAACGTCAGTTTAGAGAAACAGTTTAATGCTGACCAGATTAACGAGTTAATGGGTGGGCTGAGTGTTGTCAAGACCAAGGTGGATTACTGCCGTTCTGTGCTCCTTGTCTTACTGGACCTTACATAATTATAATAATAATAATAGCAATAATAATAATAATAATTTATTCAATTTGTACAGCACTTTACATTTTACAATCTCAAAGTGCTAACAACAAAGTCCATGCTCAAGTGCTAACATTTGCATCTACATCTGCTTTTGACACCATCAACCATGAGGTACTCATTTTTAGGCTGGAGCAGTGGGTGGGCATCACAGGGTCCATCCCTCAAATAGTTTAGATCCTACTTTGACAGAACCTTTTGTGTCAACATTAAGGGTTTTAGTTCATCATCGGCAACTCTTCAGTGGGGAGTACCACAGGGGTCCATCCTTGGTCCTCTTCTCTTTTCTTTATACTTGCTGCCACTAGGTGCCATTTTCCGTATACATAACATTTCCTTTCATTTCTATGCTGATGACTGTCAAATTTACTTCCCTCTGAAGCACATTGGTGCACATTCTGTTCAGCCTCTTCTTGACTGCCTGGTTGACATCAGGGACTGGATGGTTTTAAATTTCTTGAGTTTCAATGAGAAGAAGATTGAAGTCATGTTGTTTGTTAAATTGTGTTTTGGCCAGCTGAGGCGACTGTCTAAGCTGAAGCACATACTGTTCAAAACAACCTTGAGGCTGTAATACATGCGTTCATAACATCCAGGCTTGATTACTGCAATGCGCTTCTTTTAAGAATCAGTCAGACCTCCATCGCATGATTACATAATGGTCCAAAATGATGCAGCCCGATTTTTAACCGGTACAGGCCATAGAGAGCACATTACACCAGTTCTGGCCTCCCTGCACTGGCTCCCGGTTCACTTTCGAATTCAGTTCAAAATCCTTCTGTATGTTTTTAAATCTCTGAACAGTTCTGCCCCCTCTTATCTTACTGATCTGCTGCAACTATATGTCCTACAGCGCTCTCTGACGTCAGCAGACCAGATGCTTTTATTGGTTCCAGGCACTCGTTTTAAGCTCAGAGGTCACAGGGCTTTCTCTGTTGCAGGTCCAAGGCTGTGGAATGACTTACCACTACACATCAGGCAGGCTCCCACTCTTGCTGTTTTTAAATCTTGTTTAAAAACCCACTTTTATTCCCTGCCTTTTGACACTGTGTAACTTGTTTATAATCCTGTCTGTATTCTACAGTATTGATCTTTTAGTTATCTTTTTCCATTTGGATCTATGTTTTTATGCTGTGTCCTTTGCTTGTTTGTTTTTGCTGTACAGCACTTTGGTTGGCCTTGCTTCTATTTGCTTCTAAGTGCTTTATAAATAAAGCATGGTATGGTATGGTATGGTATGGTATGGATCATTCCGTCCAGGGAATCAATATTCAACCTTTCTTCATTTTTCAAATATATATCAATATTTCTGTCAGAATGTTAATGAAAAATAGACAAGGATGTCAAAGTTTATAAAATTAGCTGTTCCTTACTGCAGTTTTTTTTTCTTTCCTGCTATTTATCATGTTTATATCTCTTGTATATTCACTGGTGTGTATTTTCTCAGTCTGCAATTAGTTTTCTTTATATTTTTTTTTAATTAAGCTTTATGTAACCAGGCAAATTCCATTGAGATCAGATCTCTTTTGCAAGGCAGGCTTGGGCCTGACAGCAGCCTAACATGCATGTTTTTGGTATATGGGAAGCAAACAGAGCACCCAGAGAAAAACCCACGCAAACACGAGGAGAACATACAAACGACACATAGAAAGAACCCTGGTCCAATCTGGGGATTTACCTAGAATCTTCTTACTGTGAGGCAACAGCACTAACCACTGAGCCATCATGATGACCACAAATTTTAACACACTTGTTTTTTTTTTCAGGAACAGCAGTGATCTAGAGGTTGTTTTAAATCTACATCTTTGCCTCTTTTATTTTGTTTTGTCCCTGAACTATTCTACAAATGAAGCGTGAATTATTTGGATTAGAATTGGATTAGGATTTTGCGTTTGTCCTTGGACCATTTTGACTGAAGTGAACTGCACACCCTGTCCTAATCTGATCTCGTACTGTTCACCATTTCAATTGACCTTAGCTTGCCTGTTTGTAACATGTGAACACAACATTGCAACACATATGTAGATAGTTTGACAGAAAATAAACAAATTCTTACTGTCATCAGCTGCAATACTAGAATATATTCATACATAGGAGCCTTCGGCTGATATAGGCCAAATATTTGATTTTACATTTCTGTTCTTACTGCTGAGGGACAGTCAAAATTATTATCATAAATTTTTATCATTATTATGATTATTTTAGAATAAACTGATTGTACGCAACATCTTTGCTTTGTGCAGCATTGATCTTGCTCATGAGATGAAACAATTTATCTTAAAAGTTTAATAAAGTGTTCAATAAAAAATGTTTTAACAAATAGAGATGCTGTGACGTTTTTAAGATATTTCAGTAAAACTGTGCGATCACTCAAGCAGCTCCACTTGCCTTGGACCTGCAAGTTGAGTGTGATCTCGTCTGACCCCCAGTTGTTGCTGGCCACACAGCTATAATTCCCAGAATCCTCTGCCTTCACTGTACGGATAATGAAGCTGCCGTTACCATGGATACTACGGCGACCATCCATGACAACAGGTGTAGGTGTCCCATTAGTGCTGAAAAAAGAAAATGACATGTTTTAGTGAAGTTTAGGGTCCTGGTTGATCTTCTGTACATGACTGAGTTACTTACCTTCCCTTGAGCCATTTGATAGAGGGAGGAGGGTCACCGACACCTTTGCAGGGCAAAACGATGTCCTTCATCCAGGGAGTGGTGACTGTACCATTAAATGTCAGGATTCTGGCTGGTGCTGAGAGCAACAAAAACAAACAAACAAAAATCAAAGCTCACAAAGTTCACAGAACCATTACATTTTCACTTATCAAGAAAACAAAGAAGTTTTATGCAACTTTATCCCATTTCCTTATTTTAGCACGCTTCACAAAACAGACTATGAAGCAGGATCAGTGGGTTTTTGTTTACCTTTGGCCAGAGGCTCAACTATGATCTTCTCACTGTTGTTGCCATGACCTGCAGCCGTCACAGCCACCACCCAGACACTGTACTGCCTGTTTCGAGCCAAGTTTGGGATCCTGTAAAAATATGCATCTGGGGATGCCTCAAACTCACTCATCACCTGCACGGCAGAAGGACAGAAAGGATTAATGTATCACTGGATGGCACCAGTGTCAAGCAGAACAGAAATCTGGCTTTTATTCAAATAGAGGACCATCATAGCTGGGTTGGCTTTGACACACAGGAATGACAGAGTGGAGAAGACAGCAAAGATTCTCTGGTATACAAACACTATTACCATGGGATGCAGGTTAGAACAGAAGACGATGTATTTCCTGATGATGCCGTTCAGTTTAAGTGGAGGCAGCCAAGAGACAAACACGGCGGAGCTGCTGGAGGCAGCAGCCTTTACTCCTGCTGGAGGGCCGGGAACTAGAAAAAACACACAACACCCATCAAAACACTTAAATGCATTTTCTAACAACTAAACTCGGGGTTTCTATACATTTCAGTTTTTAAATATCAGACTTTCAAAACTCCAATTTCTCTATTTCTTAGTTGGTTTTCAGGCAGTTTGTGAAAATTAAAGACAAAAATGTAATATATGTGAACAGTACAGATTATATACTGAACAATACTTCTGAAAAAGGTTACCTACGCTTTAATGAATCTATAATTTGCACAGTTCAATCTGCTTCAATACAACATAATGTTCAATTTGTAAAAACCTTTTTTCCATTTAGCGTTAAACAGAAAAAGTTTATACTTGAAGGCCGCACTGACATACAGTATAATGAACGGTCTGCGCTCGTACACCCCTTTTTATAACCATAGCAAGGTTCACAGTGTTTTAAACAGGAACTAAAACTATAACTGCATTTATTCTTTATAAAGTGTATAATGCATGGGAAAACCTAATGTTGGCCTCAGCAATTTGTTTTCAGGAATTCAATTTTAATTTTTAAGTCTGAAAACACATAAGTATCTCATACCGTCCTCTTTAGTGCGAACGTAGATCTGTTCACTGCGGACCCCGTCGCCAGCGTTTGTGAAGGCTAACACCTGGATGCTGTAGTTGGTGTATTTTTCCAGACCCTCCAGCTCTAGAGATGGCTGTCCCGTGGTCACGTTTTTTATCTCGCCCAGTTCTGACACACAAAAGGAGGCAAGTCAATTTAAGGCTGTATTTAATGTAACAGTACGATTTGCCTTTCTTGGAAGCGTTGACATTTTTAACAGCAATACTTAAATCAGTCATATTCAACCCCCAAAAAAACAAAAACTACAAAATTGTACTTATTTTTTGCTTTCATTCCTTTTTTCTTTGCATTTTTTACAGCCTTGAAATGAAGCAAGACCCATGGTGGAAGTTGATCATGCTTTTTTATGCATTTCAAACTAGGGATGCACGAAATTATTAGCATGGCATCAGTATCAGCCGATATTTGCGTTAAAGTTAAATATTGGACATTGGCCATTCCATCAAAATAACTGACCAATATAAAATACACTGTTTTTGTATGACAACCCAGTGACAAGGATGTCTGCAGCAGCAGCACAACGTGATGACGTCACATGCGCCTACCTGATCTCACGGCAGAGAGGAAAATTAAAAATGTCGGCAGTGTGGAAGTTTTTTTTGTTGGTGAGGATGTTGGATTCCAAAAATGTATGGACTAAGTTGAGCCTCGCTACATCGTCCCCAGTCAGAAATATTTTTCTGATGTAACCTTACCCAAGTTACAAGCCGTAATTTCTGACGTCATCGAGAAGCTAACAGCCGATAGCACTTGGGTGAGTTTTACCACAGACATTTGAACATCGTGTTAGCCCCGTTAGAATTATCAGTCTTACGGCACAACGGATAGACAAAAACTTTGAACTTAAAAAGTCTGTCCTTCATGCCCAAGAGTGCAGAGGATCCCTCACTGCAGCTATGAACCTGGAACAAGCCTCCACAAGTGAGACAGCATCGCAGGTGACTAATGCTAATAACATTTAACACTTTTCATTTAATATAAGTTAAAGTGCTATGCATATCATATGGCTGTTAATGAATATTTGTCACCAGCTCTTACAGCTGTTACACAATTTTTGTAGCAAATAAAACTAAATAAGAGGAATATGTTCTGACAAAGTAAAGTATATAAAATATTAGTATCGGTTATCGGCCAAATAAGTTTTAACATATCAGCATATTGGATATCGGCCAAAAATCCAATATCGTGCATCCCTATTTCAAACTGTTTATGAAGTTAATCCAGACAGCATGTTGGATCCCTGCTGGAACAACAAACAATGATCTGCTCTGCACATTTCAATTTCTGAGCAGATGAGGGTAATCATTCTGTAATTGGGGACAACTCTGCTTAAAAATAATGTGCAGTTCAGTAAATGTGTGCTTAGAGTAATTTAAAATACAATTTGGGGATCAAACCACATGCACAGTGACGTGCTCGACCCAAGAAATAAACACATCCACAGCTCCCCCTGGTGGATAAATGTGAAAACAGCAGCAGCAACATCTTGTGATCTAACCCAGTCTGTGTGGGGATGTTTGTACCTCCGTCAGGGAGGTTGGCCCAGTAGATAACCCTGTAGCCCTGCAGGTTTCCGTTCAGAGCCTCTCTGGGCAGAGGCACCCAGGAGAGTGAAATGACCTCTGGAGATTTGGCCACAGCCAGGACGTTTTCAGGAGGTCGAGACGGCACTGTCAAAGCAAGAGAAGAGACAACGTGTTGGGCTGAGCTGAGGCTTTCTGAGAGGCGATATCAGTCACAATCAGGATGAGAGTGTCACTGAGGACCAAAAAAAAGGTTACTTAGTCATTTGTTTAAACATGTAAAATGTAAAACATGTAAAAAAAAAAAAATTCAGAAAAACTTTGGACAAAGCCTTCACTACACTTCCCTTTAGATTAGATAGTTCTGCTCAGTGACTAAAGCCCAGTAGAATCATAATTATGTCATACAATCCTGCGCCTGTCTCTGTCATTAATGTCAATGTGTGTCTAATGAATCCATGTGCTCTCTCTGAACAGCTGATTGGCTGAGGACAATTTAAAAGGACCAAGCTCCGTCTGTTGGATGAGTGAGGGAGGCCGACGGAGTGACGTTGTTCTGATGGTTGTTGGCATCGCTCTGAGATACTTGTGGTTGCACCTGTTAACGTTTTGTTGTTGAGCTGTCTGTTGTTGGGGCTGGGAGTTCCCGACTGTCACTGTATTTACGTTTTTTGGTTGTGGGGTTAGTCCTTGGATCATAGGGTGAGGGGATCAGTCTGAATCCGACAGACAACTGCTGGCTGGTTCGGCACTTCTCCCTCTTTTTGTTTGTTTTCACCGGGGCTCCCAGTTTGCCATTTTTGTTCAGATGATTTGTGATAAAAATGTGGCCTAAATTCCAATCATCTGGGTTTTATATGTTGTGCGTCCTGCCACTTACTCCTGGATTTATCAAGACTGTAACAGATCCCATCAAGACTCGGCAAGAGGGTCAACAAACCCAACACATGTAAAAAAAAAAAATCTGATTACATTAAATAGTGAAGGGGGTGGGGTCAAAGGGGTTTATTGATTATATCTGAGAAAGTATACAAAAGTTACAATTCTCCCAAACTGAAAATGATAATTGTCGTTTAATTTTATTTTTTTTAAATATTGTGAACAGTTAATATCTTACCTGTTGTACAAAATCTTTTTAACATCATCAGTTTTAGAGAAACAAAGTTAAAATCTGACAGGATCGCATAACAGCTAATCCAAACACAGAAGAGACTGAACTGAATTGTTGCAGTGCTTCATGTACTGGTAAATGTCACATCTTTAAACATTTGTTAATTTTGTACTTTATGGTCGTGCATAGGAGTGCACCAATAAATCGGCCCCGATTTCCTTAATTTTGGAAAATTGGAAATCGGCCGATACGTGCATGAGAAACCGATTTTACTGATTTTTTTTTTTTTTTTAACAACAATTGTCTAAACTTCATTTATATTTCAGATCACTACCTCCTAGCCAGTTAAAACAAGTTTGTAATGTTTATAGGATATTGTTCAAAGGTGTGTTTTTCAACAAGCAAAATAATATTAGAAAACTGAAGGTGTATTGTGACCTTATAACATCTGACAGTGTCGCTTATAAAACAAAATTGGAGTCGGCAGATGTTTGATCAGCGATAGAAATCGCTGATCAGCCAGAAAACTGCAATCGGTGCACCACTAGTCGTGTATAAAGAATTGTATTGTTATTTGTAAGAGCAAAAGGCAAGCAGCAGCTAGCTGTAGCATGTCTGGTGAAGCCTGGGATTTTTTCCAGCAGGAATATCACAAAACTGTTTTAATAATCATATCATGCAAAACAGACGGCAGTGCAAAGGTAGTGTTTATAGCATGAACACAAACCATTATGAAACCTGAGCTTTGCTTCTTTGACTTGTTAATCCTGTCAGAATAAAAAATCTGTTTCTTCAAACTGAGTTCATTCAAAGCCCTACCTCAACAGCTAATATATATTTTTATAGCCCTTTCACCTTAATTTAAATGTTCTGGAGTATTGGTCTAAAGGTTTCTGTTCTTAATAACTGAATGTAATCAAAAGTACTCTATAAAGTGCTCCTCTACTGTAAAAGTCAGGAATCCAGTCCGAGGTGCTCCACAGAGCACCACAGGAAGTCCTTCCTCCCTGTGGCTATCAAACTTTTCAACTCCTCCCCCTTTCTGCACATAGCACAATAAAATTAATCCAAAAACAATTGAATGTTTCTGTCTGCACCTGACCTGTTTTAGACCATTACTGTTAGTATCTTTAATATTCTCTATTATTTTTTATATATATCTTGTGTGATTCTTGTGTATGTTCCTCTGCACTGAAACTCTGGCACAACAATTTCCTGCGGGATCAATAAAGTTCTATCTTATCTTAAAACATTAAAAGCTATATGGGTAAAATACAGAGCTTCTAAAATACTGTACTTTTAAATATCTCAATAAGACACAGGAAAATGTTTTGTTCTCCAGTGCATTTTTCTTCTTCTTTAAAATATAAATAAAAACAAGATAAACTCGGTCCAACTGTCCGAGCATTCAGTTTGTTCATTTTTTAGAATATTGCATTATAGAAAGAAAAATCAAAAAACAAACACTGGAAGAAAAACATTACGTCAATATAATTTTCAATCTGAAGCGGAGAAGTATGAAGGATGCAGCATGTGGTTTTTGTATGTACTGTGGTTCAAAATATGTCCAACAGAACACAAATTGATACCAACTCCTCTGACAGCCACTGCATCTGAGAAGAACCACACCACCTCCTTAACTAAAGTAATACGCTGACACACAGTTTTAGATACAAAGGATAAATATATAGAAAATAAACGCTCCTTCACATCCTTTACTTACCGTCTTCCAGGGTCTTGGTGACCACCTGCTGTGAGGAGGGTCCTGTGCCAGCTCTGTTTGCAGCCTGGACGACCACACTGTACTGAGTGAACTTCTTCAGGTTGTCCAGCACGATGCTCTCCGTGGTGTCTCCGGTCGTGTCCACGCTGATTATGGTGAACTGGTGACTCCCTCCAGGACTGTACTCCCTGTAGCCAACCTGGTAGCCGCGGATCACACCGTTCTGCAGATGCTTCTGGGGAGGCTGAAGAAAGAGGATAACAATAAAAAATAAAAAAAACAGGTTGGGGAAGAATTTATTGATTGTCTTTTTTTTATTATTACTGCCAGTTCTGTGCAGTTATATCAAACCAAAACTACATTATTTACAAGCAAAGACGTGCTGAAAAGTCAAGGCATAAAAATTATTATTGTACCCTCCAGAAAACTTTGATGCTCTGAGGGGAGGTGGGCTCCAGTGTGACATCTTGTGGTGGGCCATCAGGAGCTGAAAGAGATCCATTAGGGTTACATGAGAGAAGATAAAACCTGCACAATGTCCACTAGGTGATGCTGTTGAGCTAACAATGCAGTCTGTTTCTACTTTGTTCAATCTGAGGCCTTCATCTCAAATTAATACTAATGACAAACTGGTAGCATCATCAACTTGCCCCTTAAACTGTAAGAACTGATATGAGTATTATTACTTCATTATAGCAATAATTTTGACTGGTTGCTCTGTTTCAATGTGCAAAAATGCCCTGGGGGGTCAGTATGAGCGACTGAAGATAAGTGGACCTTTACAGGGCTGACTCAAACTGAGGATGAACTGCTCGGTTCCTCACTTTATAGACCACAGCCTCATTTTGAAACAACTGCATAATGATTATTTGACACAAATGTATCCTCTGATTATCCACTGATCTTTTCAAAAGTTTCTCCTCAAAAGTAGAACTGATTCAACTTTATATACTCTATAAAATATTCAGAGGTAAATCAATCAATTCCAGACCCATCAATACCTGTAAAATATTTGGAGACGGTTCATATCGATGTATGTCCATCATCTACTTCTGTTTCTTTGTCAGTTTACTGATTTATTTTAGGTTATGAATGAACATCCTCAGTTATAAGAAATATAAATTGTATCTAAATGACCATTCTGACTAACTTGCCTTGGTTAATAATCTGCCTAATTATAGGACTGCGTTTAAAAACATCACCTCCGCCAGAGGAAGTGACTGTTTTGATAATGCTCTGCTGGTTTTCAGTTTAACAGCACCTCACATGGCTTCAGGTTTCAGGCCTGGTGACTAAGTACATTTTTCTTAGCCAGTGGGGAAATCACGCTGACAAGGAGCTCACTAACCTGCTTCATCAGTCGTGATGGTGAGCTCATTGCTCGGATTGCTGTTGCCAATAATGTTCTTGGCAACCATGCGGATGTTGTACGTGGAGGAGGGGTGAAGGTCAATAATAGTGGCTTGGTTTAGCTGAGGTGACACATCTTTGGTTACCTGGGCTGATAACCACGAAGCTGGCGGAGGTAAAAAGACAGACATTGAATTCATTAGTAGCATTTCATGATAAAAATGTGTTTGGCATTTTTGTTTCCTGTAGTATTTATAGTATATTTATATATTTATTTATATATTATTTATTTATATATTTATGTAGTATATAAGCTCTCAGAAATTGGTTTCTCAGATCACACCATTGATGGTTCTCTAACTATCTCTCAGACAGGAGGTAATGTGTTCAACATAATGGTAGTTTCTCCATTATTTTAACAGTAAACAATGGTGTACCACAAGGCTCAGTCTTAGGACCCACCCTCTTCACAGTCTACATAGGTAATGTAGGTCAGAGCATCCCTGATGCATCCTTACATTTCTATGCTGATGACACACTTGTTTATTGTCGAGCTAAAACAGTTGCTAAGGTTTTCCAGCTTTTGCAATCTGCTTTTGACATCATCCAGTCAGATTTGTTCCGACTCAAAGTTGTCCTAAATGCCAATAAAAGCAAAGGGGTGTTGTTTTCAAACAGGAAATTGGTCCCAGCAGTTCTTCCACTGATTTTATCCTCAAATGGTGCTCCTATTGAGTTTGTCGATCCCTACAAATATTTGGGTATCTTGGTCGATTCGCCTCTCTCTTTTAATCTCCAAATGGGAAACTTGTAAGGAAACTGAAAGTTAAACTGGGTTTCTTTTCAGAAATTGATCCTGCTTAATTCTGAATGCTAGAAAATGCCTTGTGACTGCGACTTTCCTTCCCTCCATTAACTATGGTGACATTATTTACATGAACGCCCCTACAAGCACCCTGCAGATGTTGGACGCTGTCTATCACGGTGCGCTAAGATTCATAACTGGCTGTAACTACCATACCCACCACTGCACCCTTTATTCACTGGTTAACTGGTCATCATTAACTTCACACAGACTCTCTCACTGGTACATTTTCATCTTTAAATCACTTCTTGATCTGCTGCCTTCATACATCTCCTCCTACATGCCACTGTGTGAGTGCAGCTACAGCGTGCGCTCTCAGGACATTATTACCTGCAGTGTCCCCTGAGTGAGGACTGAACTTGGCAAAAGGGCCTTCTCCTACTCTGCTCCTGTTTCCTGGAATATCTTACAAAAAGATCTGAAGCTCTCAACCTTCTTTAAGTGGCTTTAAACATCTGTTAAGTTCCTGGGAAAAACCAATGCAGACATGTTCCTGTTTTTAGTATTTTACATCGCCTTACCTAGTTTTAATTTTTTTAAATTTTAAACCATTTTATTTTCACTTGTTATTCTCAATTTGTATGCATCCTTTATGATTGTCTATTGTTGTCTTTGTTGTCCACTGTTGTCATCATTCTTTGTTGAAATCAGTTCTCTTTTGTAAATGAGTCCCTGAGGCTCAATGGAATTAATCCTGTATAAATAAAGATTGAATGAATGAATTTGAATCAATAACACAATAATTCATTCCTTCCTTCTGCTGCTACCTGACTTGTTCTTGCATTCAATGTCATATCCTGTGATGGGACTGTTGCCATCAAAACCCATGGTCCAACGAAGAGCTATGGTGCGATCTTTGACCTCACGGATCTCAACCTCTGGAGGATCAGGTGGTTCTGAAGAGATTTGAACACATCCATAAATTTTAAGAGAGACATAGAGTCTTGAGCAAAAGTACTCAAACAAAAACCTAAAAATCAGTTTTACTCATTACAGTACAACATCAAAGATCAAGCAATGATATTAAAATGAATAAAGTAATAAAAAAATGGAGGTTTTCAGTATCTTAAACGTAGTTTTTATCCCACTTTCATAAAGAAGGGTGTGAGGAGAGAAAAAGCTTACCTTGCACTGTCAGCTGTATGATGCCTCTGTCCTCGCCGAACGAGTTGATCGCATGGCAGGAGAAGAATCCTGAGTCCTCACGAACAGTTGGCATGATCTACAGAGAAGTACACTCAGGGGTTTCAAATAAACAATGGCTGGAGCTCTAAATCTAAACTTTTGTCTTATTTATTTACTTTGAGATAAAACTAAGAAGAAAGAAAAAAGCCTGCACCCTATGAGACATTTAAATATTTACATATGCTGTACTTTAGATTTACTGTATTACGCATGTAAACCCTAATACTGTGCTTTTTGTTTATCCCTGCCCCTTCGCTCATATTTTTTCTTCTCCTTGTTTTTGTTCCCGTCACGGAGCAAAAATGGGCATTTAAAAAAAAACAAAGCTCCATCCATCTGTCTGAGCATGTTGTGAGCATAATAACTTGAAAAATAAGTGAGGTACTGACTTCTGTTTAGGTGTGTGACTGTATCTGGGTGTAAGAAAGGTTCATTGTGAAAATTGGGTTGCCATGTCAGAATCCAAGATGGCTGCCGCCATAAATTTCAGTCCATCTTTTGAGTTGGATAACAAAAATAGGTGTTGTACCAACTTCTATTTTGGTGTGTAGCTGCATCCATCCAGTGGTAAAAAAAAAAAAAAAAAGAAGTCCCTATCAAACATTGGGTTGCCACATCAAGATCCAATTCAATTTTCAATTCAGTTTATTTATATAGGAACAAACTACAACAGAAGTCATTTCAGGTCACTAAACAGAAACATTCATATACATTAAAATGAGTTCATAACAATATTTATCTGAGGAGCCACCAAATTGCACAAGACTACCCCCAGAACTCCAGCTGGTTATATTTGTTTTAGTTTATACTGTGTAAGTCAGGCAGTAAAGTGAAACGTAAAATTATTTTTGGTGTGTATACAAGTATTTTGTGCTACTTGTTTCAGACTTGTTTAATGAATGAAAACAGATCTGAAAGAAGACTTGTTAAACCATAGTGTGTTTCATTCAACAATTTCAAACTAGCTCCACCAACCAAGTTAATGTGAAAATCAACAGCAGTAAAGATGTTTAGAAAAATAATGTGTTGATCTAAATTATACTGTATATACACATATATTCTACAATAAGCAATCTTCTTCTTCTTCTTCTTTATGGGGTAGAGGTAGGGCAGCCGACCTGGGACCAGATAGTCACGGTTCGACTCGCAGCCATTCCCACATGTCGTGATGTCTCTGAGCAAGACATAGCTGCTCACTGCTCCACCTGGGTGTTTCTTAGGTGTGATGGGTTAAATGCAGAGAACTGACAATCTCAGACTTCTCTTCTTCTTATTGTTCTTCTTGTTCTTTATCTTCTTCTTCTTCTTCTTTCAGCTTTTCCCTCTTCAGGGGTCTGAAGTCCTCCTCCATCTCTCTCTGTCCTCTGCATCCTCTGTCCTCACTCCAACTACCTCCATGTCCTCTCTAACTGCATCCATATATCTCCTCTTTGTCTTTTTCCTGGCAGCTGCATTTCTAACATCCTTCTACCAATATACCCACTGTCCCTCCTCTGGACATGTCCAAACCATCTCAGTCTGGTCTCTCTAACTTTATCTCCCAGTTGTTCAACCTGTGCTGTACCTCTGATGATCTCATTCCTAATCTTATCCATCCTTGTCACCCCTAAGGAGAACCTCAACATTTCTTTTCTTCTATTTCCAGTTCTTTCTCTTGTCTTTTTGTCAATGCCATGGCTCCAGATCATACAATATATCTGCTCTCACCACTGTCTTGTAAACTTTTCCTTTGACCTTTGCTGACAACCTTTTGTCACAAATCACTCCTGAAACTTTTCTCCATCCACTCCATCCTGCCTGGACTCTCTTCTTCACCTCTTTACCACACTCCCCATTTTCCTGGACAGTGGACTAGAATAAGCAATACACCGTAGATGCTTAATTTGGAAAAGAATCATTGTGATTATGTGGATTATTAAAAATATATATAATTTGTAATTTTTTATTCAACTATTATCTTTTTAAGTGTTAGATTTAAACAATATAACTAGAATTAAAATATAACAATTTCTAAACTTAAAATGTTTATGTTATGCCAACCATACATCCATCATCTTCCACTTGTTGCAAATTTGGGCCTCGGGGGCAGCTGCTTGAGCAGGGAGGCCCAGCCATCTCTTTCCACCTCTTCTGGGAGGACTCCAAGATGTTCCCAGGCCAACCGAGAAACATAGTTTCTCCAGCGTATCCTGGGTTTTCCCGGGGTCTCCTCCCAGTCTGACATGCCCGAAGGAAGCATCCTTACCAGATGCCCGAACACCTCAACTGGCTCCTCTCGACGTGGAGGAGCAGCAGTTCTACTCCAAGTCTCCCCTGATAACTGAACTTCTCATCATGTTATGCAAACATATTTTTTTATTTAAATCACTGATGTAGTGTCCGGGCTGTTTTTTTTTTTTTTTTTTTTTTTTTTTTTTGTTAAAGTGTCTGTATGGAGCTGCTCTTGTCACAGATTCAAAACATTTCAGATGTTTCAGATGTTGATATTTTACAGTGAAACTGAACACTCACCACCAGAGTGGAGATGACTTCATCAGCCACTTCCTTGACAGTAACCACATATCTGCTGGTCTCTGGGTTGATGATGCGCTCCTCTTTCTCCCAGCGCACCATGATGGGTTTCTCTCCGTGAGCAATGCAGATCATCCTCTTCTCCTCCCCCTGTGTGGCCAGAGTGGCGTTGGGGTATGAGGTGATCATGGCTGGGACTGGAAGAAACACAAGAACAGGGAAACGGTCAAACACTGTAATTTCTGGACTATTGAGCACACCCAAATATAAACCACGCCCACTAAATAAAAACAATAATAATAATGTTGTACATACAGTATGCACTTGTGTATAAGCTGCAGGTGTCCATGTTGTAATGTGAGACATTTACACAGGAAGATTTTTTTTTAATTTTGATTAAATACGTACCGGTACACAAATACGTACAGTAAATGTTTTTTTCTGAACAGTGCCGATAACACGGCTGGTTAAATAAAAATACAGTAGCCTACCAAGAAGTCATTGATTGTTATCTTCATCTTCCTCCTGAAGAGGATTTAAAAAAACTGCTCCTGTCAGCATCCACTGGCAGACTGGAGCAGAAGTTGCTCTTTGCATGCCTCCGGTTTTGGTAAATTATTTCTTACCACCAGTCAACCAAGCCTCCCACCGAACTTCGAGATTTTTTTTAACCTTTATTTATACAGGTAGTCTCATTGAGCCACTAGGACCCACCCCACAAGAGAGATGTTTGTTGGGCAGCTATATGAGCACCGGGGTGTGATGAGGTTAAATGTTTTGGTGGCAGGAAGCTCATTAGCCCGTCAAAAAACAAAACCCCATAAATTAGCCGCAGCATTGATGCAAGGTTCAAAGTGTGTGAAAAAAGAGGCGGCTTATAGTCCGGAAATTACAGTACTACAAATACTATCACAGAGTCTTACACACGAGGACTTGAAGAAGTAGGTTTGCTTTGTAAATATCTTTTGAATGGCAATACTGTATCTTTATGCAATGCAAAAATAGGGCATTGCTTTATTTTTTCACAACACGGCACAATTTTAGGTATTCTTTTGTTTTGTGCTAAGAAAAGTCACACTATCTGTCAGGTGATAGTTGTGACAACCGTTTAGACATCATGAACTTTTGTCTGAGCGTGCCCGTCTCTCTCTGTACCTGGAGATTGGAAGAAGCCCTTAAGGTGAACCTGTGCCTACTTTGATAACGACAGCAAATGAAAACAGACTGCTTTCTGAAGATGAGGCAGAGGAGCGGAGAAAAAAAAATAAAAGCAGTGACTCCTGCGTGAACTCCCATTAGTCTGAGGGTGCAGCAGGTCTGACTCTGCACCGTAACCACACACGGAGCTCATTAGCTACACATCCAGCTCGTACGTGAATGTGTGTCATTTGGCAGCAGCAGTTTATGTTGACAACATTTCATCTGCAATCACTATTCGCTCACTTTTCATACGCGCACTTCCTTTTAGTCTGTCTTTTTCTCCTTCTTTTGATCGTAACAAAAATTCTCAGGGGCTGTTGACATGATCTTTGAAGAGATAAAATACAAATGACACCATATTAACTTATCATGCTTTTTTTTGTTTTTTTTAAGTGCGCACTGGTTTTCTCTCAGGATGTGCAACTTCAAGTAATACAAATTTCACTGGTGACATTTTAAAGTCATAATCGCTTTGTAGTGATCACCATTTTTAAGATGTAGTGTATCTGTTGTGCATGAAACCTGTGTCGTCAGCTCGGCAGAACATTTGAACAGTGTTGGCACACAAGAAATGGTGGTTGCTGCTGTGAATAAGATGGGAACTGCTACGAAACAGAAAGAGCTTCTCTATATTTCTTGCTGACAGCTTCTGATATGCATTAGGCTGCAGTGGTGAAAACCTGTCAAATTCAGAATTTTAGCCTCCGGCTGCTCTGATATGTTAGTGAAATGACTTGTAATGGCAATATGTTTGCAATGCCACAGAATTTCTGAATAGTATATAGTTGATGCCGTACCTGTTAGTAGAAACTCTCACAAATAAAAAATAAACTGCAATGTAAAAGACTAAATCACATTTTACATTTATTTAGCAATCCCCAGAAATCTTCATTTTTTTGTCTTTTCCAGCAAGTCATACTGTATAATGAATGTGTCACTTTTTAACACAGTATCTAACTGGGCGTCAGATGTTGGTTTCTAGATGGTAAACAGTATTTGTTAGGGAGCCTCCAAAATGTCTTAAAACATTTGCAGGGCTCTAAATTTCCTCACATGAGTTGCAGAGGCTCACAGATTTGTTGCTTGAATTTTAAACAAGTTAAAAAAAAAACATCAAGTTAAGTCAGCTTTATGTATAGAGCACATTTGAAACAGTAGCTGTTACCAAAGTGCTTAACAATAACATCAATGAGAGTAAATTAATGAAAAAGAATGATAGTACTGAAAAATTAATTAAAAGCATAAAAAAAAAACAGAAAAAAAAAAAAAAAACTAAATCAACTCACACTGTGTGAAATGCCAGAGAAAACAGATGAGGGTTTAGTAGAAATTTTAAAAACAGGAAGAGAAGTGGCATTTGGGGTGGGGGGGCAGATTGTTCCAAAGCTTGGGGCCCATGACTGAAAAAGCCCGATCACCTCTGAGCTTCAATCTTGTTTTTGGAACAGGCAAAAGTAGCTGATCAGATGACCTCACGGCCCAAGAGGGAACATATGGTTCTAGTAGCTCAAAGAGATATGAGGGTGCAAGACCATTTATGCAATTAAAGGTTAGTAGGAGAATTTTAAAATCAATTCTGGTGTGCATAGTGAAGGGAGGACAAAACTGGTTTAATATGCTCAAACCTACGAGTTCCAGTTAGGAGCCGAGCAGAGCATTCTGGATGAGCCGGAGACGTGAAATGGAGACCTGACTGCCCCCAACATAAAGTGCATTACATTAGTCCATTTGGGTAATGATAAAAGCATGGACTAGTTTTTATAATAATAATAATAATAATAACAATAATAATAATAATAATAATAATAATAATAATAATAATAATAATAATAATATTAATAATAATGAATTTAATTTGTAACGCACTTTTCGTTAAGTACTACAAAGTGCAACTAAAATCAGTGATAAAATCATGTGATGGCAGAAAATTTTTCAAGGACAGATCTGGAGAACACTGACTTAATCTTAGCTATCTGCCTTAACTGGTAGAAGTTTTTTCTGCAGAACAAAGTTAATTTGTTTATTAATCTTAAGGTCAGAGTCTAAAACCATCCTGAGATTCGCAACAGACAGCTTAAGATATGGCTGAAGAGAGTAAAGATCTACAGGATTAGAGACAGCGGTAGAGCTAGGGTTAAACACAACAACTTCTTATGATCATTAAAACTTAAAAAAATTTGAAGCCACCCATACCTTGATGTCATCAAGACATTTTAACAGAGTGTAAATGGACCAGGAAGTAGTTGGTTTTAAGGGCAGATACAGTAAATCTGACAATCATCAGCATAACAATTAAATAAAAGACCATCTTTCCTCAGGATAGACCCCAAAGGGAGCAGATGAGTGTAAAAAGCAGGGGTCCAAGAATCGAGCCCTGTGGGACCCCGCAGGAAAGAGGCACAACAACTTTTCTCTCAGATTAGTCACAGAGTGGCTGTGGGTATCTCAAACTCTTATCAGTTTTTATGCCTGTGTATACAACCCATTTCATGAGCACTAGAGTTGTAGTTTGACACCTGCACATAAAACACCAAAGCTACAGGCCTGAATGTCTAGGTCTAAAATGCATGCCACTGATGAAAAACAATGACTTAAAAACTGATCTAACTTGTTTATGTTAATTTCAAAAGGGCACTACAATAAATAAAATTATAAACATGGCGGCTGCTGCAACTTGTGTACAAAAAAAGCTATGATGAGAATAATTTCGGTGGAATTGGGCAAAAATATTAAGTGCTTAATAAATGTCTAAAATTAGTTTTTCAAGCCATGCACACAAAAATGGACTATAACATATGGCTCCCTAATCACTTATTTGCAAACACGATTCAGTGAAACTGCAACTAACAAGTTGCCTGTTCGCTCACAATTTTTAGTCACCACCTCCAACAGTCACAGCCCAGTGAGATATTATCTGAAACATTTTAACCTTACTGCAAATATTACCATTTACTGTTTAGAATAGGTCGTGTAGTGCTTTTAACCAAATTAAATGTCGTAAGTGAATGCACTTTAGCCAAGCAGCATTCTAAAATGCCATTTTTAACTGTGGTCAGTGAATGCACCACAGCTAATTTGCTCTTATTTTAAAGGCATGTTTCTGATGTGTAAGTCTTTACTAACCAGAGAGCGTTTGCCTACAAAGAAAGTACACCAAAAGCAGTTTTCTGTTGTGTATTCAATTGCACAAATATCACTGATCAATCACCTCAGAGAGAAAGCTCTGTGGTCTGGTACAGTTTTGCAAAGGATTTTTTTAAGAATAAAAAAACAACAACTCATTGTCAATACGATCACAGAATGAAAGGTTTGTTGTTCTAGATTTAAGAGAGAAATTTGAATTGGTAAAAGTGTCTACAATTGAAAATGGAAAGTTCGAAAATCCGAAATCAGCAATTGCCTAGAAAACTGGTGCATCTCTGACAATGTTCATGGTCTAAATGTTTATATGATATTTACCAGGACGTTTCTAGCACCTGGAGAATACACCTGCTGCAGAATAGTGAACACTGTCACATAACTGAACAGTAATGGCAGTTACATGCTGCAGCATTGTGCCACGATGGTTAGAGGTCTCATCTTCCTGGAACAGCTGCAGTCTGTGTGGCTGAGTCAGTGTGTGAACGTCTGTACACTCCTGAGTAACATATCTGTGAGCAGGAGTGTTTTTCCTCTGTGTCCATATGCACAAGTGTGTTCAGGGGAGAACAGAGAGCAGAGAAGACTCGTGCTCGTGACACATCTCAGCTCCAGTACACAACCAAAGAGAGATGGAGAGCATGTTCCCCCTGCAGCGCTAACTATGATCCCTCACTCACTCACTCTGTTTCCCTACTTAGGCTCCCACCAGGACATCCATGACTTAATGATGAGAGAGACGTCGTTGATTATTCGTACACAGCAGACAAGCTCGCTGACCGTGTTGTAGTCTCACACACACTTCCATTTACAACAATACTGGCTGTGCAACATAAATCTGTAAACAAATTTATCAAAA